GAACGATAGAAAGACGAAAAAAAGTGAAGAAAAAATAATCAAAAACACCACCCATAAAAAAAGGAACAAAGAAATGACTGGTTAGTATTATTTCAAATAAAATGAAAAAGTAATAAAAACAGAAAGATATAAAAAGTAATAAAGAAAGACATACATTAAATAAAAAGAAGCCATCCCATTATCTAAAGAAAAAAATAAAGTTAGCGTTAATAATAAAGTAAAGAATCATTAAATACAATAAAATAACAAAAAAAAACAAAAAAAATTGCCTTAAAAAAAAGTCATTTTCAAGCCGAAATAGCACTGCAATAAAAAAAAAAGGAAAAAAAAATTATCGTTATCTAATAAACAAATAAACATTTATCAGATGACACGATGATCATGTTTGTGTAGCCAATAAAAAATATAAATTTATTACATAATCAGGGGTTACCGGGTCGCCAATTACATTTTCCCTATTTTTTTTTATATATATATATATTTTGACCTTCAATTCCTATTATAATCACAAAAATTAGCCTCCTGAACAATATATACGAATAATAAATATTTCCTTGATGTTAATATATAGTTAACTCTTAGATATTTGGCCAGTCAATTCATAATTCCTTGATGTCAATATATGGTTAACTCTCGGTTTTTGATCATGCTGCAGATCATGATCAATTTTTTTTTTTTATATAAACAACCATTGTTTGTAATATTGAACTCAATATCAACTCAATATCAATATCAATATCAATATCAATTCAATTTCAATTCAATTTCAATTCAATATCAATATCAATATCAATATCAATATCAATATCAATAATATAAAAAATGTACCCTATACTTAGCGCATAAGAGCTAACCAAATTAGTAAAATTTTCCTTCCTTTCCAGGATAGTACTATTAGCAGAACAACCAATCACAAGGAATATCACTATTAAAATGAAGATCACCTGATATCATTAACTATATAGCTTGATCTGTATATGGTGTCAATTATGTATGTATTGTATGATAAATGTGGTAATTTCATGTATTTTATTACCAAATATAACTATTTCACATTTTTCATTATGATTGTGTACTAGCTAAAACAATTCAATGTGTATTATTATAATCTTTTTTTTCTTTTTATTTAAAAATAAATATTTCTACCATGTTTATTACTTTTCATTTAAAAAAATTTAAAATAAATATTTCTATCGCATTTTTATTACTACAATCTCTTTCTTTTCATTTAAAATATTTAGAAAGCTAAATATTTAAAATGGATATTGTTATGCGAAATCTTGCTCACATGATTTCTGATAATATATGATGATCTGATATGAATACAGTACATTTGTGTTAGGGTTGGATCGGTCTGGTCCGGTCTGATCCAGTCCCAAAAAGACCGGTCTTTCAACCTGGATGGGACTGGACCGATTTAAATTCAAGAAATTTTGTCCCCATGATTTTAAGACCTCTAAAACATTAAAGAACGTTGCGAAATGTTTTTTAACATGTAATTTAACAAATAAACAACGTTTCGCAACGTTTTTTAATTATTTTAATAGAAAACGATGCGAAAACGTTTTTTATTAATAAGTTCATAAAAAAAAACATTTTTCGCAAACGTTTTTAATTATTTTAACAAACAACGTTGTGAAAACGTTTTTATTAAGTAATTTACGTTTTGCAGCATTTTTTATTAAGTAATTTAATAAAAAAACGTTTTCACACATTTTTTAATTATTTTATTAATAGGAAACGTTACAAAAATGTTTTTTATTAATAATTTCACGAAAAAAAGGTTTTCGCATATTTTTTTAATAAAAAACGTTGCAAAAATATTAAAAACTGAACTGATAATCAGTTTTGGCAAAAACCATGCCCTAGAAGTACATGACACAAAAATTTGGCTTATTTTTATTGGATATTAATAATATAAGATCGGTCCCAGTCCAGACCAGTCCTCAGATCTCAGACCGAAGACCATGAAGACTGGTCCCAAGACCGACGCAAGACTGGTCTTTATTAGGACCGATCCAACCCTAATTTGTGTATATGTCAATTTCTGATATTAAATGTTGATTTATATCGATATATAATTGTTGATTTGTGTACAATAGATTAACCTAATAAAAGATATTGATTTTATTTTATTATATTTATATAAGTTGTATTATTACATTTATTCATATTATTATTGTTTATATTATTTATTTTCTTTATTTGTATTGTTTATATGTATAAGATTTTATTAGAAGTTATTGTAGGGAAATTAGCTCAATAGTAATTAACCATCCAAAATTATCATTTGTACTTTATTATAGTGGCTTACAATCATATTGATATATTACAATATATCACGATGAAACTTTGACAATAGAAAATTAATAACCCATCAATAGATATCTATAGATTAGATTTTGCCTTGATAAAAAAAAGAGATGACAGTTAGATAAAAATCAGATATAAATATACCTTCTGCCAACTCTTTGATAGAATAGTTACCCTCATAGTTATTTTCCGTAGTTGTCTTGTAGCTAAATAACTTTAAGATATATCCCCTATTCTTTTTTATCACTTTTTATCACTTGTTGTAAAGACCCGAAATTTACATCTATTAATAAAATCGTTTTACATTTGGTCAATATTACACATTGTTTCTAACAGTCATATAACATTTGTTCTTATAACCATTGCATATTATTATTTATCATAATTTATAGTTATTTACCTTGACGATTCTTAATGAACAATACTGGAATACCAGGATAGGTAGTATTGAGTAAGAATCCCGTTGGTAATCGAGTGTTTATATGATATAATATTGCTAGTTATCCAACTCTTATTTACTGTCATAACCGGTAATAATATGTAAATATCATAAAGTGCAGACAACAAGTCAACATTAGAAATTATTAAGAAAAGAATATATATTATCATTAATTCGTTATAATTATGTATTTATTGTTAATAAGATTTTATTATATATAACATATTAACTATTAAATTTCTATATGTTGGTTAAAGACATTTCCAAAACTTCCTGATAATATATACCACCAGATCTACATTATATTACAAGAAACCAATGGAATAATAATAGTTGCTACTGCTACTAGTCCAGAAATAAATGAGCCAATTTGTCCTAAATTAGATAATTTATCTTCAAATTTCAAAACATGCTTATCCATTTCCTGAATAACTAGTTCACGGTTTTCATATTTCATATAATCCATAATTCTTTCATTTAATTTTTCTAAGTTACTTGGCCTATAAACTCCTATTTGCTTATTCAAATGGGTTAATAGAATAATTTTTGACTTTTTTCTTTTGCTAATATCATTTGAAGGATTATCTAGATAAATAAAAAAATTACAGCTTTTAATTATGGTCATTATTTGTGATTTCCTTTCAATTAATAATCTTTGATTTTTTGGCATTCTTCCTCATTTTCAAATTTCTCAAAGTTAATTCGTACAATTGTAGTATAGTTTTTCACATTTTCATCAAAAAGAACTGTTTCTAATATTTGATAAACTTGGATTTCTTCCTCAGTAAAGCGACCATTAGTAACTAAAAGAATTTGATGCAAACCATCTTTTAATTCATGAGCTAACTCAACTAATTTATATAAAATATCTTCTCGATTTAGTTTAGTATCATTTAAACCAATAGTATCAATTACTTCATAGGTTATTTCCTCCTCAACAAATTGACATCTTTGGATTGCTTTAGTTTGGCTAATAGAATAGTTGCTTTCTTTAAATTGGTTAGTACCAGTCAATACATTAGCCAAAGTAGATTTACCACTACCTGTACGACCAATTCACTGGTCATTTCATCCAAATTTCAAATTGATGAATGTTGGACGAAAGTTGGTCTAAATTCGGCTGATCATTGCCAAAAAAATCGTCAAAATTATTATGGACGATTTGCACAGTTCGCCTGCCACTTGGCAATCAAAAATTGGCAAAAATTCGTTACAATTCCATTTCGGCAAAAAATCGATTGGCCAGTTTTAGGCTTAATTTTGGTCTAGAACTGGCCGATTTTTAGTTGATGCAGAAATAGTTAATTTTATATTTATTTCTGATTTTTAAGCATAATTTAATTTCAATTTATTAATAAAACTACATAAAGGCATAACATACATATATCTATCTATCTATTATTTCTAATTAATTACTATCTACAGTACTATCCGAATGTTATCAAGAAATCTATAAAATTTCCTCACGAACTTAAAAAAAAAGATGAAATAAAAAATTCGCCAATCAGAACTGGAATCTAATAAAGAGGAAATAAAGTACAATAGTTAGTTAAAAAATGGAATAAAAAATTGTTTTTGAATTCAATTCAATAACTCACCAGTTCTGGAGTAGCAAAATCGTCAGAAATCTACAAAAGAACAAAATCAAAACATCATTTGCATTTCGTTAAGAAAAAACAAAATTGAATTTTCAAAGGGGAGTACCTTTAAAGTTCCGTTTAAGTATCATCCATAAACCCCAAAAAATCAATAAAATTTGAACTTTTTAAAAAGAAAGTTCCGAAGTAATTCTTCGAAACTCACTGATCTAAAGCCCAAGAGCCGGAAGCCGAAACCTACAAATTAGAAAAAAAAAATTTAAAAAAAATAATTTTTAAAAGTTTCGAAGTTTTCAAAACTCACCCATATATCCAAAGCCCAAGAAAACCTACAAATAGAAAAAAAAATTAAAAATAATTTTAAGGAGTTTAGTCTCAATTCCTTCACTTCGAAACTTACCTATATATTATCCAAAGTCTAAGAGCCAGAAGCTGAAACCTACAAAATAGAAAGAAAAATTAAAAAAATAATTTCTAAAGAGTTTCGAAGTTTTCAAAACTCACCTATTCAACGCCCAATAACCGAAAGCCGAAACCTACAAAAAAGAAGAAAAAAAATTAAAAAAATATTTTTTTAAAGAGTTTCGATTCTTTCACTTTGAAACTCACCCATATATCCAACGGAAGTCGAAACCTACAAATAGAAGAAAAAAATTTAAAAAAAATAATTTTTAATAAAAAGGTTTCGAAGATTTCACTCTGAAACTTACCCATATATCCAATGCCCAAGATCCGAAGGCCGAAACCTACAAAGTAGAAGAAAAAAAAAACTTTAATGTTTTTTAATGAAAAAATTAACCCTCAAGTCTGTTTAAATTTACCATACCTAAAATCCAAGTCCGTCTTAAACCAACCACCTCTTTTAAAAGTCTTATCCTGGTGGAAAGCATTCGTTTGCTTTGACTAGTTCGATTCTAGTCTAAGACAAATTTTTGTATTTTTAAGCTAACGGTCTTTCGCATCTAAAGAAATAAAGTACAAGTCCGTCGTAGTAAATAAAAAATTCCAACCAATCTGAAGTCGAATCGAAGCATCCTACAAAAAAAAAATTCCCAAAAGTCCAAGATCAAAGTTGAAATCAAATTTGAGGCAATCTACAAAAAGTGAATCTGAATCTAAAGTCAACCTACAAAAGAGATAATCCAAATTCAAAGCCGTAATCGAATCTACAAAAAGAAAATTCTGAATCCAGAGCCAAGGTTGAATCGAATCAAGTACCTAAAATAACTACAAAAATGGAACAAGAGTTGAAGTCAGTTAACCGAAGCAACCTATAAAAAAGAAAATCCCAGTCGAATCTATAAAGAAAGTCCTAAGTCGAGTCAAATCGAAGTCTAAGCAACTTACAAAAATAGAATCCCATAACCTAAAAAAGTTAAAGTCGAATAAAAATAATAAAGCCAACATTTCCAAAGAGACCTTAGAGAAACGCCTAGATGAAGAAAGTAAACGAACTGTTAGAAAACGTTCGTTAAAACAAAAACAATTAAGGAAAAAAAATTTAAATAATTTACTGAAATTTTGCGTCCAAAGAGACCAAAAGAACCGCCTAAGAAAAACACTGAACGTTTCATTAAAATTGATAATTAAGAAACAAAAATCCGAATTCCAAAAATCAAATCGAACTACAAAAGAGGAAATAATGCCGAATCGAAGTGGCCTACAAAGAAAAAAAATTGTTGAAAAAACCTACAAAAAGAAAATCAAAAGCAAACATCAAAAGTACCTATAAAAAAGAAAATCAATAAATCGGAGTAACCTACAAAGAAAAATCTAAACTCCAAGTTCGAATTGAAGCACCTTCAAAGAGCAAATATGAATCAGTTATTGTCCCGAGCAGGAGTCAAACCTGCACCCTACAATTGAATTGTATGCTCTACCATCGAGCCTTCGGGACACAATGGTAAAACGCTATCCTCCCAAAACTCCAAAACCCCAAAATCGAAGCGTACCTACAAAAGAAAAACCTCTTTACTGATAGGAGTTAAACTTAAGTCTGGAAACTGACCTACAAAAAAGAAATTCCAAGTCCGAAAACCAAAATGAAAATAAATTCCAAGCCCAAGTCCGAAAACTGAAACGAAGAAACCTACAAGATAAAAAAATTCCAAGTCCGGAAACTGAAACGTAAATATCTACAAAAAAGAAATTCCAAGCCAAAGTCCAGAAACCGAAATGAATGACCTATAAAAAATAAATTCCAAATCTGGAAGTCAAAAATGTTCAAATCCGAGAGTCAAAACGAAGAACCTACAAAATAGAAAATCCTGGTTCGAGAGCCGAAATGGAACAACCTATAAAGGATATTATTGTCCCGAGCAGGAGTCAAACCTGCACCCTACAATTGAATCGTATGCTCTACCATCGAGCCTTCGGGACGCAATGGTAAAACGCTATCCTCCCAAAACTCCAAAACCCCAAAATCGAAGCGTACCTACAAAAGAAAAACCTCTTTACTGATAGGAGTTAAACTTAAGTCTGGAAACTGACCTACAAAAAAGAAATTCCAAGTCCGAAAACCAAAATGAAAATAAATTCCAAGCCCAAGTCCGAAAACTGAAACGAAGAAACCTACAAGATAAAAAAATTCCAAGTCCGGAAACTGAAACGTAAATATCTACAAAAAAGAAATTCCAAGCCAAAGTCCAGAAACCGAAATGAATGACCTATAAAAAATAAATTCCAAATCTGGAAGTCAAAAATGTTCAAATCCGAGAGTCAAAACGAAGAACCTACAAAATAGAAAATCCTGGTTCGAGAGCCGAAATGGAACAACCTATAAAGGATATTATTGTCCCGAGCAGGAGTCAAACCTGCACCCTACAATTGAATCGTATGCTCTACCATCGAGCCTTCGGGACGCAATGGTAAAACGCTATCCTCCCAAAACTCCAAAACCCCAAAATCGAAGCGTACCTACAAAAGAAAAACCTCTTTACTGATAGGAGTTAAACTTAAGTCTGGAAACTGACCTACAAAAAAGAAATTCCAAGTCCGAAAACCAAAATGAAAATAAATTCCAAGCCCAAGTCCGAAAACTGAAACGAAGAAACCTACAAGATAAAAAAATTCCAAGTCCGGAAACTGAAACGTAAATATCTACAAAAAAGAAATTCCAAGCCAAAGTCCAGAAACCGAAATGAATGACCTATAAAAAATAAATTCCAAATCTGGAAGTCAAAAATGTTCAAATCCGAGAGTCAAAACGAAGAACCTACAAAATAGAAAATCCTGGTTCGAGAGCCGAAATGGAACAACCTATAAAGGATATTATTGTCCCGAGCAGGAGTCAAACCTGCACCCTACAATTGAATCGTATGCTCTACCATCGAGCCTTCGGGACGCAATGGTAAAACGCTATCCTCCCAAAACTCCAAAACCCCAAAATCGAAGCGTACCTACAAAAGAAAAACCTCTTTACTGATAGGAGTTAAACTTAAGTCTGGAAACTGACCTACAAAAAAGAAATTCCAAGTCCGAAAACCAAAATGAAAATAAATTCCAAGCCCAAGTCCGAAAACTGAAACGAAGAAACCTACAAGATAAAAAAATTCCAAGTCCGGAAACTGAAACGTAAATATCTACAAAAAAGAAATTCCAAGCCAAAGTCCAGAAACCGAAATGAATGACCTATAAAAAATAAATTCCAAATCTGGAAGTCAAAAATGTTCAAATCCGAGAGTCAAAACGAAGAACCTACAAAATAGAAAATCCTGGTTCGAGAGCCGAAATGGAACAACCTATAAAGGATATTATTGTCCCGAGCAGGAGTCAAACCTGCACCCTACAATTGAATCGTATGCTCTACCATCGAGCCTTCGGGACGCAATGGTAAAACGCTATCCTCCCAAAACTCCAAAACCCCAAAATCGAAGCGTACCTACAAAAGAAAAACNGAAACCTACAAAAGAACAAAATCAAAACATCATTTGCATTTCGTTAAGAAAAAACAAAATTGAATTTTCAAAGGGGAGTACCTTTAAAGTTCCGTTTAAGTATCATCCATAAACCCAAAAAAATCAATAAAATTTGAACTTTTTAAAAAGAAAGTTCCGAAGTAATTCTTCGAAACTCACTGATCTAAAGCCCAAGAGCCGGAAGCCGAAACCTACAAAATAGAAAAAAAAAATTTAAAAAAAATAATTTTTAAAAGTTTCGAAGTTTTCAAAACTCACCCATATATCCAAAGCCCAAGAAAACCTACAAATAGAAAAAAAAATTAAAAATAATTTTAAGGAGTTTAGTCTCAATTCCTTCACTTCGAAACTTACCTATATATTATCCAAAGTCTAAGAGCCAGAAGCTGAAACCTACAAAATAGAAAGAAAAATTAAAAAAATAATTTCTAAAGAGTTTCGAAGTTTTCAAAACTCACCTATTCAACGCCCAATAACCGAAAGCCGAAACCTACAAAAAAGAAGAAAAAAAATTAAAAAAATATTTTTTTAAAGAGTTTCGATTCTTTCACTTTGAAACTCACCCATATATCCAACGGAAGTCGAAACCTACAAATAGAAGAAAAAAATTTAAAAAAAATAATTTTTAATAAAAAGGTTTCGAAGATTTCACTCTGAAACTTACCCATATATCCAATGCCCAAGATCCGAAGGCCGAAACCTACAAAGTAGAAGAAAAAAAAAACTTTAATGTTTTTTAATGAAAAAATTAACCCTCAAGTCTGTTTAAATTTACCATACCTAAAATCCAAGTCCGTCTTAAACCAACCACCTCTTTTAAAAGTCTTATCCTGGTGGAAAGCATTCGTTTGCTTTGACTAGTTCGATTCTAGTCTAAGACAAATTTTTGTATTTTTAAGCTAACGGTCTTTCGCATCTAAAGAAATAAAGTACAAGTCCGTCGTAGTAAATAAAAAATTCCAACCAATCTGAAGTCGAATCGAAGCATCCTACAAAAAAAAAATTCCCAAAAGTCCAAGATCAAAGTTGAAATCAAATTTGAGGCAATCTACAAAAAGTGAATCTGAATCTAAAGTCAACCTACAAAAGAGATAATCCAAATTCAAAGCCGTAATCGAATCTACAAAAAGAAAATTCTGAATCCAGAGCCAAGGTTGAATCGAATCAAGTACCTAAAATAACTACAAAAATGGAACAAGAGTTGAAGTCAGTTAACCGAAGCAACCTATAAAAAAGAAAATCCCAGTCGAATCTATAAAGAAAGTCCTAAGTCGAGTCAAATCGAAGTCTAAGCAACTTACAAAAATAGAATCCCATAACCTAAAAAAGTTAAAGTCGAATAAAAATAATAAAGCCAACATTTCCAAAGAGACCTTAGAGAAACGCCTAGATGAAGAAAGTAAACGAACTGTTAGAAAACGTTCGTTAAAACAAAAACAATTAAGGAAAAAAAATTTAAATAATTTACTGAAATTTTGCGTCCAAAGAGACCAAAAGAACCGCCTAAGAAAAACACTGAACGTTTCATTAAAATTGATAATTAAGAAACAAAAATCCGAATTCCAAAAATCAAATCGAACTACAAAAGAGGAAATAATGCCGAATCGAAGTGGCCTACAAAGAAAAAAAATTGTTGAAAAAACCTACAAAAAGAAAATCAAAAGCAAACATCAAAAGTACCTATAAAAAAGAAAATCAATAAATCGGAGTAACCTACAAAGAAAAATCTAAACTCCAAGTTCGAATTGAAGCACCTTCAAAGAGCAAATATGAATCAGTTATTGTCCCGAGCAGGAGTCAAACCTGCACCCTACAATTGAATTGTATGCTCTACCATCGAGCCTTCGGGACACAATGGTAAAACGCTATCCTCCCAAAACTCCAAAACCCCAAAATCGAAGCGTACCTACAAAAGAAAAACCTCTTTACTGATAGGAGTTAAACTTAAGTCTGGAAACTGACCTACAAAAAAGAAATTCCAAGTCCGAAAACCAAAATGAAAATAAATTCCAAGCCCAAGTCCGAAAACTGAAACGAAGAAACCTACAAGATAAAAAAATTCCAAGTCCGGAAACTGAAACGTAAATATCTACAAAAAAGAAATTCCAAGCCAAAGTCCAGAAACCGAAATGAATGACCTATAAAAAATAAATTCCAAATCTGGAAGTCAAAAATGTTCAAATCCGAGAGTCAAAACGAAGAACCTACAAAATAGAAAATCCTGGTTCGAGAGCCGAAATGGAACAACCTATAAAGGATATTATTGTCCCGAGCAGGAGTCAAACCTGCACCCTACAATTGAATTGTATGCTCTACCATCGAGCCTTCGGGACACAATGGTAAAACGCTATCCTCCCAAAACTCCAAAACCCCAAAATCGAAGCGTACCTACAAAAGAAAAACCTCTTTACTGATAGGAGTTAAACTTAAGTCTGGAAACTGACCTACAAAAAAGAAATTCCAAGTCCGAAAACCAAAATGAAAATAAATTCCAAGCCCAAGTCCGAAAACTGAAACGAAGAAACCTACAAGATAAAAAAATTCCAAGTCCGGAAACTGAAACGTAAATATCTACAAAAAAGAAATTCCAAGCCAAAGTCCAGAAACCGAAATGAATGACCTATAAAAAATAAATTCCAAATCTGGAAGTCAAAAATGTCCAAATCCGAGAGTCAAAACGAAGAACCTACAAAATAGAAAATCCTGGTTCGAGAGCCGAAATGGAACAACCTATAAAGGATATTATTGTCCCGAGCAGGAGTCGAACCTGCACCTTACGACTGAATTGTATGCTCTACCGTTGAGCCTTCGGGACACAAGTCAAAGAAGAAACCAGACTGAAATAACTTACAAAAAGAAAAAAAAATAAGTCCGGAAGTCAAAACGAACTGAGGCGACCTACAAAAATAAATTCCAAGAAACTACAAAAAAACAAACTCAAAAAAGAGTCCGAACCTGATTAAAAAGATACTAATTTAGACTTTTATGGCAAAAGTCTATTTAAATCTTAGGGGGTCGAATGTAAATCATTACTAATTTAAGTTTTACTTTTTCAACAAGTATTTGGCTATTATTTAGATGGTTCGATATTTTTGATTTTGTTCAAGATTGTTAAAAATCGTAAAGTCAATTGTTGCTATTAATAAAAATCGATCAAAAAAAAATATTGGTCGATTTATGGTTTTTTTTTATGTTACAACTCA